GTGTTCTTGTCTTAGGAAAAATAAATTATAAAAAGGTAACTCTATGTATAAATAGAAGTTGTTGGTTCCTTTAGAAAATCAGAGATTAAGAGTTTGAGTTTTCTAAAGGCAAAGGTTTTTAGTTTTCCTTGTAGGGAAAACAAGAGAGAAGCTCTCAAGACTTGTATGGTCTTTGAGATGCTTATGAGAGACTAGATTGTTATGAGATACTTGTAAGTTCTCTAATTAAAAGTTTCTTGTAAGTTACTTTTAAGGAAGATAATCTAGTTGAATGTTTTGAAAAATCTCTTGGATAATACTATCTCTATAGTTCTTGCGTTTTCAAGTTGAGTGACAAAAGGACAAATGGTAAATGTTTTAGCTGATAAAAGATCGTAAAGGAAACCACGAAGAAGTGTTCCTGTAGTCTCTTCATGGTACTTTGTCTCCACACCAAAATCCAAGTATGCTTCTTTCATTGCCCTATTCATTCTCTCAAATGCAAAGTAATGAAACCTACCTGAGTACTTAAAGATATGAATGTTTGGCAAGTCGAGTGTAGTGTACACCACGGCAAAATCACAATTTTCGAATATCATTGCTCTTAAACGGTTGTTATATCCAATAATCTTTTCGAGAACAACGTCCCAACAATTTTGTAGGCTTAGACTCTCGAGAAGAGGACACTTTAATATCAAAGGCATGGATCCAACCAATAGAGAGAATTTTTAGCGAACCTGTTTTCGCGAGCCTTGATGGATCAAACCCGCAAGCGAATAGCTTCAGGGTTCGCTAGATTATTAAAGCGTCCACGCAATTGAAACACTACTGCTTCTGCTGATGCGAATTCAACTGGTTTAGATAGATAAAGTTTGAAACTTTTGATCTCTTCACCGGTAAAATCCGCAACCCATTTAAGCATGTAGCGAACGAACGAAGGCCTAGCGACCCTTTTGATTTGTTCATCGTCTGAAACATAATATTTCACGAATTCAGACTCTTTGAAAGCAATGTTGGTCATTTTGTGAGAGAGACTCTCCCAACGTTTTGAGACAAGACTTAGTTTCATAGCTTCCTTGAAGGGCAAGCTAGACATGAACAGAAACAGAATGAAATCGGAGAAACTCTCTAGGTTTGTTCTTGGATTCATTGTTTCTGATTTCGGAATAGAAATGATTAAAAAAGACTGGTTTTGATGGAGATGTTTTTAAAAAATAAATATTCGCGAGTGAATGTGCGCGCGAGATGCTTTTTCTTGAACTCTTAACAAGTGAGATTGCGCGCGAGATTTAAATACAGAGTAAATTCTTCTAGCAATATTTGATCATAAATTTGTTTGCCCTATTTTTTCAAAATTACATGTAAAATATTTGGCAAGTAAAATGGTCAAAAAATTTGACTACTTTTAATATATTGACATAAATCGACATAGCAAATGATATGGTCAATATTAGATTTTTTTTTTTTATAAAAGGTTGACATAATTATGATATGCAAATATTTTAGGAAAATTATGTT